TCAGCCTGAAAACATGAGTCACCAAATTGAAAGAAAAAGGCACTAAATAAGCTCAGAAAGCTGTGAGATATTCCTCCCTCTTGTTGATGGGAACGTCACATGCATTAAGGTTGAAAAGAGAAGAAGACACAAAGCAAAAAAAGACATGCATGCATTTTAGCAAATCCCATGTGGTCAAAGAAATGGGTACACAAATTTGTTTACATCTTTGAAAAATGCCATTTTAACATATGCTGGTGGAGTGCTACATGCTAGTTATCTCATCCATACATTTTCATACAACATCTAGTCCCTGGAAAGTCAGAAAATTGCATGCTATTTATCCCCTTTTATTTTTCTCTTTTCTTCCTTTTGAGAAAATAGACAATTGCCAAGGCGCCTAATATAATTAGATTAATATCCTAACTTATGATATCTGTAGGAACTAGAGAATTAGCATAACAAGTGAAACAAACTTGGAGAGAGAAAAAATCTGTTTCATTAGTCCAAAGCTTCAGTTAAACAAAGGAAATAAATTACGAAAAAAAACGATTAAATTAGAAAACAGGTGAATTCTGTCAAAATTTATTCAAATCTTTTAATGGATAGCACAAACCTGAGTTTTGGCATTGATCCATGAATCCCCCCACACATAAATGCCGTGATTGCGCACAAGTACAGCTGTTGCCTTTGGGTAGGCTTCTATCTACAAAATATCAAGCAATTTCAGCTTCCAATCAGTTAAAGAAAATATTGAACATTGCAAAAAAGATAAATCAGTGGAAGAAGATATTCAACATGGAAAAAGAATTAATATCTTTTGAATGGAGATAAGAGCTACAGGAATTTCTTAATATGCATTTGGACAGTGCTCCCAAACAAACTGATAAATCACATTGACATAGCTTTTTCTCCCTTTCCCCTTCTGAGTGACAACTTAATGAAGTTTTCTAATTTTGGCCAGTGAAATGTGTTTTATTGATTTTTCGAACATGCTACCCCAAATAAAGTATGCAACATCTTGGACTAAGAGTCAAAAGAAGTTGAATAAGCATGCAAGATAAAGCTATTCAAGTAACATTACCACAATATTTGTTTAAAAAATACACTTTATCAAATATACACCATCATTTTCTTAGGTCTAAGTCAGTGATATCTTTATTATTTCTCTCTAGGAGCATTGCCTGCATTCCATAAATCAAAAGAAAAGGCAGCACCAGTATCACTGCATGAGGCTGATTGAATGTGTGAAAAGAACATACAGCTTTAGCAAGAGATTCAGTGAGCTCGCTCTCGTAGGCTGTATTCTCTATTATTGGCACAACAAGTTCATCATAATAACCATGTCCTTGGATACCTTTTATCATCTCCATATGAGTAATCTGTTTAGTGGACCAAAAGAAAGGCTGAATTAGATAAACGAGAGAATAAGAAACCATATCCATAAGTAGATGATGACAGTAATTTATATGCAACAAAGAAACCACCATAACAACCAGTGCAAGCATGTGAACAATCCATCAGAATATGTAAGTTATCAAAGTCTATTATAACAATTCAATAATATTAAGTGGTTTTCTAAAGTCCCAAATGCAACACACAGGAAATTTTTTAAATAGCAAGCCTGAGGCTAAGCCCGAGCCAACTAATTATGGTATAAATAGATAGTTTTTTATCCTGTATATAGTACAATGGAACAGTCACGAGAAACCTGTGAGGTGTTCCTTGTCTTTCTTGTAACTTGAATTAAAGAAAGTACTCGGGTTCAAGGGGTGGTGAGCGAATTATGACAAAAGATTCACAAAGGTTTACTCATCTTACTCTATTATTATTAAACTATAGCAATGTTTCAACTTTTTTTTACAGTGGCAAGGAAACTGTTGTTTTTTATTGATATACATCAAAGGAACTGAATCACATAAATATAGCATTTTCTTGCTCCATAATTAGTTGCATGAATTCTAACCAATAAGCTATTCGTTTATGCTTCAAAACAATTGCGTGAATTCAGTTTCCCTTACAATAACAACTAAAATGAAACTCTATGAAAACTGAGAGAAAACATCACTATTAGAAAATCCATTTCCAATATCATATTGAAACCATCAATACTAGATTTCAAAGCCTAATCCAGCTAGCAATCAAATTGCCATTGTAGAAACGTGAACTGGTGAAAGACCAAGGATCATGATAAACAATCATATAAAAGAAGAGTATAAACTTTTACAATTTCTTATACATGGCCAAAAAAATGACAAAAGACAAGCTTACACGAAATTCTTTTGCCTGTGGATTGATCATCGTTGCAAGACAAGATTCTATTCCATGACTGTGAATAACAGCTCCAGCATTACGCATTTCATATGCCTGGATTACTAGGTAAATAAGTGTTAATGATGACTTCAACCAAAATCAAAAGGCAGAATTAGAAACTAAGACAACATCACCCAAGTTAGGATCTAACTGGTTATAATCATGATAACGATGGAATGAGAATATGAAATGAGAAAACACAAATACAGCAGCCTTGCCAACAAAGAAGGCAGAAAGCACTCTAGGATCTTGATCTCAAGAATTATGAAAAACATTAAGAAAACATAGTTTCAATGAATGATTCAATCAAGATATGCTCAAAAATTTAAGTAAATTCTCAGCCAACAACTGAAAGCTAATAAGACAAGCAATTAGACACCAAACAAATGAAAACTACAAGTTAATAATTACGTAAGTTATTACCATAAAGCACTGGCGATCACCATAAACCTGGTCCATCAAAGATTGCATGGGAATGCTTATTATAATTAGAGAGAGTACATAACTTGGTTATGAGATTATCTCCAGATAACTTTTATCACTAAATAAACCATCTCGACAAACCTTCAAATACAGAGACATACCTCACTCAAGATATTTTGTCAATGTTTTGAACCTACATTCAAGTTTTTTTTTTTTTGAAATAAAAATGTATAGTTGTATTGAGAACCAACATTCAAGTTATCAATACAAATTATAAAATATGGTTCAAATAAACATATTAATTAAAAAACTGAAGTTTCAGCTTCAACCACTAACTTGGCCCCGCATCACTGAAATTTTAAGGCAATGAGGATAAGGCGGGTTTTGTCAAACCCCATCAAGACTGTCCAAAAGCAGGAAATATTTGAATGGGATTACCTTTTGATTGAAATTTCTCGGCCTTTTCCTCAATGCAGGCACTTGGCACTTGGCCTTGCTCTGATTGCAATCCAGTGATTATTAGCAATCAAACTTATCAACAGTGTACTTCTGACTGCTGAATAAATGTAGGAAAACATAATAATTTCAAGAGAAAATAACCATAAACTCCTTGATTGAACCTAGCATAACCATTTGGTTCAATAGAGTATTTTTTTTCTCTCTTTTTTCCTCCAAAAGTGAATCAACTCCAGAAACACAAGAAATTGTCAGTTTCCTTTCTTTTCCTTCATTTCCTCAGCAATCAGAAGGGAACAACTGCAAAAGGAGCAAATGGTATAGGCGACATAGCCACCACAACAACTAGGACTCAAATTATTGTACCCATTTTCCAGAGTATGCATATGAAATCAATCTAACGCACATAACGGTCCAAGTATCAATAGATCCCACTATCTGTTGTCATAAGCAATCTAATAGCATTACGCATTATCAACAAGACAAGACTGCTATGGAAACAATCCAAAATGCATTCCAAGCTGTTTAGAATCAAACATTACCTACAGTAAGCAATCAGGCATGGTTTATTAATTTAACAACTAATAAAGCAAGAAAACTCATACCTTCATGAAAAGAGGAGCACAGTCAGAACATTTGGGCGGCTTATGAGGATATGGCTTTGGAGATGGTGAAGATATGATAGATCCATTTGCTGATAAGACATACATGTCCTCCGGTTCCATCCTCTCTTTTTGAACACCTATACGCATATTATGACGCAAACACACAATTGATCAATGGCAAGACTGCCAACTAGAGAAACAAACCAGAAGAATAACCAGATTAGGATGGGAAATGAATAATAATGGCCAGAGAAGCAAAGAGAAACAGAACAACAAACTCACACTAACAAATATATTCCTTCCTGTTCAACAAAAAGTGACCAAGTTACCAAGAAAAGATTTTAGGAAATAGCATTACAGTAAGACATACGGATTCTCTGTGGCCTAATAGATTGTCTAGCAGCCTACTTTTTGAGAAAATAACTGGAAGTATTGGACTAAGTCCAATATCAAAAGGCTTACAGCTAAATCAACATAATTCATGGCTAACTAAACAAGAAAGATAGATCAAGCAACAGATAAACATATACAGGACTCCAAGCCAGAGTAACTCAGGAACTGAAGAGCCAGGGGGATATATAAGATACACTGCAGAAAGTCGGAAACAAACACTCAGAAACTAAACATTCTAAGAATTATGTAGAGGTGCAATTTACTCAATAAATATGTAAGCAGGAGAACAGAATCCAAAAGAATATACAAAACTAAATACAAATCGCGCACAAGAACAAACACATACAAGTCATTTTGCACAACAGCTTGCAGAAAATCAAACTGAAAGAGACTGTCTAGAAGAGAATAATGAACAGCCCAGTATAGAAAGACGAACGGCCCAGAAGAATGAACGTGTGAGCATCAGGAACAGACCTACAAATCAAATATCAGAGAAACGGGAAAAAAAAAAGAAAAAAAAAAAAAAAAAAAAAAACTTAATCCTAAAAATACAAGCTTGGAAATCAAACAACCAACGAAACAGCAAGACCGTACAATTGATCCCAACAAAAATAAAAGATACATAGGACCATGGAGAGAAACCAGACATGCATAAGCAAATGAGCATAAAAAACAAGTATAATGATAAAGAAAATCGAATTAATATAACACATACCCAGTTGAGAATAAGAGGTAACAAGCAAATGAGCCTCAATAATCAATAACTCAAGAGCAAAAGGAGAAAAAAAAAAAGGAAAAAAAAACCAAAGAAAGAGCCCAGAAAACCATTTGCTTTCCAATACATGATAGATAAAAATCGGATGACTACCAGAAGGGGACATGAGGATGAGCTGCTGAGGGCGAGGAATGGAGTCATCCTGGACCTTGATTGTGATGCTACCACCAGTCCCGGATACCCATCCAAGAGTATAGAAATGACGGCATAGCTCCGATATCAAGGCCCTGGTATCCTTAACTGGCTTGCAATCCAGATACGCTTGTGATACTACACTATTCATCTTCACTCCGTTAAAAGCCACCGCTGCTGCCGCCGACGCCGCCATTGTTGATACGGAAGGAAACCCAAACCTACGTATCTATAAGATTGAACTAGAAACAGAGAAATTACAGGTGAATTTTAGCCATTGTTGCGTTTGATTCTTTTGAAGTCAGCACATTTATCTCGTCGTGGGAATTCAGTTACCTGGCTGTGACTGAAGCGTGTGTTTCTATTGGACCACGAGGAGAACCTTAAAGAGTTAGATGCTTGTCTTTAGCACGTGTTATAATGTAGTCGCGTGTCAAAATGTTAGGGCTGCTTAGGTGCTAATTTAGGGTTTAGTAAGTAATTAGAGAGATAATTATTAACTGAATTTTATTGCAGTTGGCATGCTTCAGCCTTCATTGCTTTGTGGTGTCAAAATTAGTTAATGAAGTCAAAGTTCAACCCATTTTCTGAATAAATTATGACTTAATTTAATTAATGAGCATTTTTCTCCTTTGCTTTACTAATAATACGTTATTTGTTTTTTTTTTAAATAAAATTTCAAAATTTATTAAAAACGTGACAGAAGATTACAATAATAATATAAGAAAAAAAGTTTCATATATATGAAAATTATAATAATTCTTCGATTCATTAGTAATACGTTAAATGGGTTTATTACAGTTTCGTCGAATTCAACTTATCGAAATTTTAGAGTACTGAGTTAGTATAATTTTATAGTATTCCACGATAAATCTAAATTCAAACACATCCTCGGTTTTTCTCAACAAAACTCACTATGCTTATAAAACATCTGTTTCTATAATATCCGAACTCATAAAATTTAAAATAATGTATTTCTGTGCAACCCGACAACTTAACAATTTAGTTAGTTATGAGGATTTGTAACCCTATAATTTTTTTTAAAAAAAGCTAATAATACATGTCCAGTCGAGTTTATGACAATCGCCCTATATCCACACTCGCTTTCCAATGAGAAAATAGTGGCATCCATATTGCATTTTCACAACTCAGATGGCGATGCCGTTCATTTTTAGTTGATCCTAAATTTCTCGAGCATGTCTTCAATCATACAGAAAAGGATCAGACAAGGTGTATTGGGGTTGCTTCGGCATATATCCTCCATTGTCTGAGGAGTTTATTGTGTTTAGTTTAGAGTCGCCATAGACAGCATGCAATCTATTGCACTCTGAATTTTGAATATTTCACGATAATAAATTACTCGTTTTGTGATAGCAATATATGAATTATTATATATATATATATAACTAATTTAGATATTAATTAAATAACTTTAAAATATTTGGACTAATTAAAAATTTTTATATTTATCATAAAAAGTTTTAATTATTATATATTTTTAATGTAAATAATTATAAATCACATTAGTCAAAAGATTAATAGCTGCAATTATATTATTAAATATTATTATATTCATATTCATATTAGTAACTATAAATGTTTCAGTAAATGTTTTTATATAAATAAATAAAATAATAAATAGTTTAAAAAAAAATTGAATGTATATTTTCATATACAAATAAATAAAAGTGGTAGAAATTAAAAGATTATTAATTATAATAATTTATTTTAGTCATTAAATAATATAATTATTTTTTAAAATAATATAAAAATTAAATGTTTTTATGTAAATAAATAAAATAATAAATATATTTTTTAAAAAAAGAAAATTGAGTGTATATTCTCATATACAAATAAATAGAAGTGGTAGAAGATTAAAATATTATTAATTAAAATAATTTATTTTATTCATTAATAAATAGTAAAAATAGTAATAATTAGTGTTAAAAGTTAATATCAAGAATGGTAAAACAAATAGTAAAAAAATTATTATACCTCCCCAAACCATTATTATTCGCCCCCCCCCAAAAAAGGTAAAAGCGAAGGCTTCATCATTTAAATAAAAAGGTTATAGGTAAATATAATATGAGAAATGTGGCGAGGTTACCAGAACAGCAAAACGATGCGTTTGGTCACTGCATTTTATAATAGCGAAACGGAGCGTTTTGATCACGGAGACGGCAGCGAAACGGAGCGTTTTGATAACGGAGACGGCCTTACGTCAACACTATCCGAATCTTCGAATAAGCCACCTTACGCCCCCGCGGCACTGCAACTCATCGCCCACAGCCACAGACTGCACAAACACTTACCTTCAATATCTCTCTCTCTCTCTCTCTTTCCCGCCCATGTCTCGGGGAACAGACCGTCTCGTGAAGAGCTTGAAGCAGTTCGCAGATGTTCAGTACAAGTTTTTCACTGCTCGTTATGGCCAACAACTGATTGACATTTTTGAATTTCCAATCAAGCTAGTCTTGTCACCTTTCACCCTCGCTTTTGACATCGCTGGCTCTGCTCCTCGCGGGTTTGGCGTCCCCGAACTGATCTCCAAAATATCTTGCGCTTCAATCTTCGTGAGTTCTCTTAATTTCTACAAATTCGCGAGGTTTTTGTCCGCATGGGTTGATAGGTTTGGCAATTTAGCTGCTGTTATCGGTAATATATGTAATTAGGTGAAATGAGTCGTCGACTATTCTTTTTCGGTGCCTGCAACCGATGCTGACTTAGATAGTAGTAATGTTTGTCAGAACGTGGAAAT